CCCTCGTGCTGCAGCAGCCCGCCGCCCCCACCGCTGAGGAGGCTGCCCGGAAAGGAGCCCCTTTTGCCCCTTTGAGAAATAGGAGCTGGGGTGGAGCTGGGGGGCTGCCCTGTGGCCCAAACCACCCCTCCTTCCCAGCAATGTCGCCAGGGACCCTGTGACCCCAAAGCAGGCAGAACAGAAAGAAACATTTCAACAAATCCAGGCATCTTTTTTCGCCCTAGAAAAGTATTTAATATTTTGAAGTAAGAATTGCCCAGATCCTGTTGGGCCTTTACACTCATGTAAGGAAAACCGCCTGAGTCACAGGCAGCCAGGAAGGGAGCCAGCCCCTGGTCAATGTGACTTCTGAGCAAACTGCCAACAGAATTCTGGCCCAAAAAAGGAGAGGCTGGAACTGCCACCCCCCTGGTTGGATGGTGCTAAAGAGAATGAAACATTGGTGTGTTTGTGGGGGGGGGGAGGAAGCCACTCCACCCAGGTGTTGTTTGATGGGGCCCTCCTGTTCCTGCTCTCTCTCTCTCTCTCTCTGCCCTGCCAGTTCTCTCTCTGGACATCCTCCCAGCCATCCCCCCCAGCCCCCTCCTCACACCAAGGGGTTTGGTACATGCAGGGGCAGGCCTACAAGCCTGTTCCTCTGCGGCAGTGTGGGGAGAGGGCTGCACTTGTGGGTCTGTGGAACAGAAGGAGGCTGTGTTTTCTATTGATCTGTTGCCATTGTGGAAAAGCAGCTTCTGCTGGTGTGGAGGTAATGTGGCAGGGAGTTCCACAGACAATAATGTGGTATGCCATGAATGCCTTTGCTTTGCTTCCCCTCACTCTCCCCACTCCAAGAAGGGATTCCAGTAACCTGTGCTTGAGGAGACTGGGTCAAAGTAAACATGCTCGCGCTGCGTCCATCTCTCGAGTTTGCTTCCTCGCTTTCCTCTTCTCCCCCATCTCAAAAGGCTGAGCCGAGCAGAGCGAGCCTGACAGCCGCTCCATTAACCAGATTACTCTTGTCATCCCTCCCCCTCCCCCAGCCAACCTCTGTTCGGCTCTGCTTTTTGCTGCGTGCATTTTCAGATTGAATGCATTTTGCTTATTAAAAGGGTAAGCAGGGTTTACGGGTGAAGATCGACCCCAGTGCCTTTTTTATTGAAAGCCGCCACAGCGCTGATTCTGTAGGGCTGCAGACAGACTGGTGGGGCCGTAGCGAGCCGCAGACGTTTTAAGAACATGAGTCACTGTTCTCATCCTTACTTAGACAGCGGAGGGAGGTGCAGGAGAAGATTGACCCCCCCACCCCACCCCCACCCCTTTCTGCAGCCTCTCTGCACATGGCCAGAGTCTCACCCTGGTCCTTCAAGAATTCGTCCGCTCCTCTGGGAGCCGGACTGCAACTGTCGCCACGTCTTGGGGTGGGGAGTTCCACAGAAATACGTGGATTATGCACAACGCACCGTGTTGCGCCTGTCTGCGGATGGGGCGGCATAGCTTCTGCTTTGGCCTAAGTGACCCAGGAAGACAAGGAAGGAAGAAGGCAAGGAGGCGGCCAAGCCTCTTGGCCGTTGCCAGACCCTCACCGACCCCTCCTCTCAGGCTGGGGAGACGATCCAGGCTTCTGCCCTTGATGGGCGCCCACCCTTGGCTTGATCCCTCGTTAAGATTGAAACGTTGTTTCAAAATGAAGGGTGAGGTCCCTGCCAGGCTGCCCTCAGAAAAAAATGTTTCATGTGCTTTTTGTTATTTAATTTGGTAAATAATGGCACTGATTAAAATGTAAAAACAGAATGTACACACGTGCGGGCATGCATACACACACACACACACACAAACTTACCATTTCCCTGGATTTCTGACAGCCACTCCCAAGCAGGCCCTCTGCTCATCACTACCCCGAGTTCAGGACCACTGTGGTCCCCACCAGCATCTGCATGCAGCTGGCATCTCTTGCCTTCGTGGCGTATTTAACCTCCAGTGGCATTGGCCCTCGGAATACGTCCATTCCCATCGTTGGGAGGGACCCACTGGCCACTCCCCCCCTCCCTATTTAACTAGCCTGAATAACACTGTGGGTTTTCTCCTCACCCACTGGGATTTCCTACCGAGAGAGAGAGAGAGAGAGAGAGAGAGAGAGAGGCTCGGAGCACCCTTTCCGGAGCCGATGGGAGGCAGGAGGGCTTACCTACTTCCTCTCTTGCAGGTCAGTTTCTAAACGAAGCACGGGCCCTGCTCCCTGGTTTCTTTCGCACCGCTCACCTACCCTAGGGCTGCTGGTTTTCCCCTCTGCGTTGACAGATAGTCGGAAATCCAAGTCCTCCCCTCCTAAGCACTTTGTTAGGGTCTGTATGCTCCCTGGTGGAACGTCCTTCCAAGAAAACCTGCGCAGGATCCGTCCTGTAGGTATAGAGAGTCACAGGGGTGCTGAGCGGGCCATAGACCTTGCAGCTTTCTGCGGGGCTTACCTCTGTGTATTCATTTATTTGTCTGATTTCTATACTGCTCAGCTGGCTACAAGGCCACTCTGTAAGTGTATGTAGGACCAGACTGCATGTGGATTGTGACTCGCAAATTGTTTCCTCCTGCAGCTTCTTGGGTTCATCGGGTTTTAAAACTTTGGTGAGACACAACTTTCTGGGCAGAAGCCTTTCTCTGCGGTGGGCGTAAGTGGGCCAAACAGAGCAGGAGGCTTCTGCCTGCATAATTAGGTGTGGTGTTAGGCTAGTGGGTGGGTGATGTCCTGTTTTGTTTGGGAAGTTTTTAAGCCCCCTTCTAGTCCTCCATGGGGGAGGCGGCTGCATTTAGTTACGAGCAGCCTGTTTTGGTGAGCAGGATAGCTTTTTCACGTTTCCCTGAGTCGAAGTCAAAGGTGGTTTTGGTGTCTGCTGCCCTTCGAAAATTAACCGCTCAGGCAGCAGAATGTCGCCGGCTGGCCGTGCCTGTTTCCCTCCCTCAGGTCCCGCCTGTCTCCTCTGCACTCGGCGGGTCTCAAGGCCCCAGCTGTCCTGCTTCAGACAAGCATGAAAAGGAAGGCGATGTGGATTTGTGGGGGGTTGGGAACTACATTTCCCAGAATTCCTCTGCCACCGAGCTCAGGCTGCCTGGGTAATTCTGGGAGTCGTAGACCAGAAGCCGAAAGCTGCCCATCATCCGCTCGTCAAAGAGGGGGAAAAAATGTGGTTGGTCTGGCGTGCCTTTTGCTGCAGCGGCTTTTCCCGTCCTCTCGGCATCCTCCAGCGGCTGATGCTGCTTCTGCTCGGCTTCCTTGGGCTCGGCTGCTGACCAGGAGGTGTGGCCTCCCGTGGGGCGCCCCAGGCATCTGCCGCCAGTGGTTGCGCACGCTCTGGTCGAATGTGGTGAATGTGGCGGCCAAGAGGCTGGGCTTTGCACTGGGAGGTTCCCGGTTCAAGCCCCACCTCTCCAGGAACTGTGCTGAGACATGGGCCCCCCACCCCCCCCACCTACCCGGTTTGCCCCAGTCCTTCCCCCCCTCATTAATTGTATGGGGCATAAGAGCAGTGGGTCAGCTCCGGAAAGAGCAAACGCTCCTGGCTCCTGCACCCCCCCACTTACCCGGTTTGCCCCAGTCCTTCCCCCCCTCATTAATCGTATGGGGCATAAGAGCAATGGGTCAGCTCCGGAAAGAGCAAACGCTCCTGGCTCCTGCTTCCATGCGATGCTTGCCCTCGTCTGCTGGATTTCTAGGCATGCTTTACGTCTAGCCCGCATCCATTAAAGGTAGGGGAAGGCAAACATTTCCAAGAGGGAACCGGCTTCTGTGCCGCAGGTTTTCTGACGCGGTCCCTGCCTTTTTGCACCTCTTGGAAGCACGGAGCCAGCCATCTGGAAATCTTTGCATCTCTGTGCAGTTCTTTAGAGAGAGAGGCTGGCACTGGGGGTAAAGACCTGATGCTGAGCGTGGCAGGCTTGGTTCCCTGGGTGGCTGCAGAGGGAGGTGTGTCCTATTTAGCACAAAGGGGGGGGAGGGGGGAGGCCCCCAAGGTTTTGTGATCCGCGTCTCATTTCATTTCCCCTCTGCTTCCTGTCGGATGAAGGTTGTTGCCTAAGGCAAGAGGAATACTCTGGAGGGGAAGAAGATGGGCCCCAAATATCCTTCCGGCTTGGCTGATGATGGGGCTTTTGTTGTTGTTGTTGTTCCAAGACAAGGCCTTCCCTGTGTTGGGAGGAAGAGAAGGGATGAAGGAAGCAGCTAAGCAATGGCATGCGCACCTTCTGTTGTGAGGTGTGTGGAGAGGCAGGAGGTGGGCAGATCAGAGGACGCACATGGATTCTGGAAATGGCCAGGCCTTGAGGCTTGTCACGGAAGCCGTGGCCCTTGGTCTCTGACCCTTTTAGGGGCCTGGCCTCCGTTTTCGACTGCTTGCCTCTGGCTGCTTTGCTTTGCCTCCTGACTTCTGCGGCTCAGAAGAAGCCTCTCTGGCTTCCCCCCCCCCGCTTGCCTGAGATGTGGGGTGTGTGTGTGTGTGTTTTGAACCCTGGCACCACCTGCCATCCAAAGCTGCTCTTCCCTTCCTTTTCTACCAGGCTCTTTCGGTCAAGCCAAGCTGTGACAATTCAGAGGACCGACCCCTCCCGGGTCATTTGTCATTCTGAAGTACTACAGCATTTAAATACCCAATGCTCAGGGAAACACAGTGATCAAAGCCTTTAGGTAAAACATGGCTCATGCAAATGTTGCACAAATTCGACTGGGGTGTTGGTTGGCCTAGGAGAGTCAGGGCAGGGCAGTGAACGGAGATGGTCGGGAAAAGACTCGGCAGAGCTGGGTTCCAATCCCCCACTCGGCCACAGAAACATGCCAGAGGTTGGGATCTGCTGGACATTTCAGATACCTTCAGCCTTCCTCCCTCCCCGCTTCTTTCAACTTATATGCTGCCCTACGAGTGCAGCGCACTCTTTTCAGGTGCTTTATAGCAAAATAAAATGTAGCCCAGCAACAAAATTTATTTATATATTTATTTATTGGATTTTTACCCCGCCCCTCTAGACAATGTCTACTCGCAGAAGGGCTATAAATAGAAGCAAGAGACTATAAATGATGCTACAGGAGGCTTAATATCATTTGTCAGATAAGGCGGAAGGAGAGGCCGAACATCGGATATAAAATCAGGCAGGAACGTCATCGAAGGCTTCTCTGAACCACCATGTGTTTCAAAGCCTCTTCTTAAGTGTTGGGCTGGGGGGGGGGCACAGCTCCCACCAGGAGCTGGATCCAGGGCGTTGGGGCCGCCGCGAAGAAAGTTGATTTCTGTGGCAGGGTATCCGAAAAGGCGAGAGAACTGGCGCCCACTCTTGCAAGCACGCGACCGTCTTAGATACCTGTGAGCCTTGGGTGAAGGCAAAGGGCTTTGCGTGTTGCCTGCTCACTTGCACAGAGGAGACATTAAAAAATGTGGAGAAGGGGGCAAGAGTTTCTGTTGTTTCAGGGGAGGGGAATAGCTGGTCTTGTCAATGTTCCTTGTCTTTTATCACCTGGTGCCCCCCCCTTCTGTTTTACCCTTTGAGTGACCAAGAGGATGGTTGGTGGTAGGTTGTCTCTTTCTACAAAGGCTTGTGTTGGAAGGGAGGCGCTGCTGAGCGGTGACTGCCCCAGGTTGGTTAAAAATTTGAGCCAAAAAAGAGAGAGGCCACGGCCTTTCCGTGCAAACTCTGCTTCATGCCTTGAATGCAGAAAGGTTGGGGTGTGTGTGTGTTGGTTTGGGTTTTTTTAAAGGGTTTTCCTTCCCTTTTTTTTTTTTTTTTTTTTTTTGGCTTGTTGTCATTGTGGGTTGCTGACTCAGCGCAACTGCTTGGGGAATTCAGGCTCCCTAGATCAGCAGCTGCAACCTAATAAAAGGCCACCAGCCGATTGGGGGGGGGGGGCTTTACCCATATCCGGTTGTGTTTGAAGGCAGTCCTCTGCAGGTCATCCCTCCATGCTTTTCCAGCTGCCTTCTGCTTTCCCCAGCATCATCATCCTTCCCAGGGAGTCTCATCTGTTCTTGATGCTTCCAAAAGATGATGGTTTCAATTGAGTCATTTTTGCTTCTGGACAGAGTTCAGGTTGGATTCTGTCCGGACACCAGTTGTCTTTCTGTTGGTCTGTAGTGTCGAGAGGACGGATCCCTCCAATTCCACATTTCAAATGGGTCCATTTTATTTCCCATCCCACTTTCTCATCTTGACAGCGTGGATGGCCCTGGTCTAGCCTTCCTTTTGATCCGGTCTCTTCACCGCCGGCCTTCCAGATCTCAGGCTTCTTCTGACTTCTTGGCTGGCTGTCGCCATCGCGGCAAGAACGTCAGAACAGCCTGAAATAACGTTCTTGAGTCGAGGAATATAATGAAACCAAAACTTGCGAGTTGTCTTGAGAACGAGCACTGGGAGGGGTGGGGTGGGGGGTGTATTTTCAGTTCCGCAGTTCTGCAGTAGGAGGGTGATCCGTGAAGGTAGTAAACTAAAGGGAGTGAGTGAATGGAGACCAGGAAATTTGCAAAACAAGCAAAACCTAGGAAATTGGCAGACGTTGGCCACGTCATAAGAAACGAGAAGAGCAGATGGTTCAAGTTG